AGGGGGAGCGGAGTGAGGAGTCTAGCTATTTCATTCAGCTGGACTTTGTCGGCTTCGGGCGCCGTTTCCCGATATTCCATCCCCAAGATCGTAGCACTTTGACAACCTTGGGCGTGACGGCTGCCGTCAGCGGGACTCGGAGGAAGATGAAGCTCTTGTGGATGGCGTAGGCAAGGGCTAGTTGGGTACCAAGGCCTGGTAGTATCATCAGCATCTGTACCGCGCGGGGAAACCGCATTAGATCGGGGAAGACGGGATCGGCCTACTAGCATGACTCTTGTTCATCTCATCAGCCTCCTCGACACCCCAGCCAGCAATCTCGGCCTGCCCGTCGTGGCCCAGCTGCGATTGCCTGCTTTCCTTCCACGCTGCCCGGTACTCGTTCCATTTGTCGCGTACGGAGTCCGGGATCACATGAGCGACATGCGATACTATCCAATGTTCGAGCTCGCCTTATCATCCAACCAGGGTCAGCACCGGCTCTTTGGCGGCCAAAAAGGTCCACATTCGCGGTCCATGCTCACCTATCTTATCTGTGCCAACGACGCGAACCAGCAGGAAGCAGAACGGGAAGTCGAGGACGCTCAGGGCAAAGTACACGCCCACGGCAGACCAGCCATATTCCCGGGACAGCTTCTTGAATCTCGCCGAGAGTCCCTGCGGCTCTTGGGTGTTCGGTTTGCTCGGGTCCGGTTTCGCATCTCGTAAGCGCGAAGTCTTATGAAAGCGTCGCTTGCTTGTTCGTAAAGGGGAGCGGTAGGTATCTTTCAGCGGGTTTGCGATCTTCGGTCGATAGTTGATCTTTCGGGCCACTCTCGAAATGGGTGATGCGACACCGGTTCGTGATATCGAAGCGAATGCCCGTCGGAGGGTTTGCGATTCTAAGCCCGGCGCATGATGTAGACCGACGCCAGAGCCGGACGGCGGCTGCAGAAGGGGACGGAGTGTGCGGAGGTATGCCCTTATCATTGCGTTTGCCCCCTTCTGCGGGATAGCCGGATTGTGGTTCTGGTTCCGGTTCTGGTTCAAGTGGTCGTCGTGTTCGGGAAAAAGATGTGTTGGGTGGTTGGCGGAATTGTGGTTTGTCGGCCGTCAGCGCAGTGTTAGCCGCAAAATTATCGCGCGACCGGCATGAAAAAAAAAGCTACAAAAACGCAACTAGGGGTTGCAACCTAAAGACCTTGGAAGATATGGACGTCTGCAAGCACCGAAGAAAATGAATTGATGTGTTTTAGCAAGGTATCATAAGTCGGTTTCACCGCGAAAGTACGTGAAGTATAGAATTAAAATGGTGACGCGATCATGAGGTTCATCTCAGATGGATGTGCCACTTATTTGGAGAGCTTTCCAGCAGGTAGCACCTGCACAGGTACCTACACACCTCAGGTACTTTAAGCAAGCAGCGGGCTGGGGCTGCACGGTGATGCAAATGCGGGCGGGCTGCGGGCCCTGCCCTTACCCAGCGGCCAGGCCGAATCTACCTGACAGGCCATCCATATCTTAAGCCTCTGCTACCTAACGCCGAGCTTCCATCTGCCCTTAATTCCGGCTGTCATCATGGCTACAGGCCAACCTTATGGAAACAGAAGGCGGATTTGCTTCCAGGTGCCTTCTTGGATCACCGGACTTTCCGGACTCACAACAGTGCATCATCCATCCGTAAGAATCGTACTGGAGATCTTTGCGTTGTTCAATAAGCAAGTTGAACATCTCGTTGAATATGAGGAACCCTTGCAGATGCGCAAGATTGCTGGACTGACGGCGAATGTCATGGCGAACACAACGCGGACGAAGTGAAGCACGAGCACATGGGAAATGAATACGATCCTCAACACTACTCTCAGTAAAATACCTGTCGTCTTGAACCCCAAAGATCAACGATTAGATGAACGTAAAGGGCGGTACCATGCTAACATGTCGTTCTTTAGGTCGAGTTCGATCAAATGTGAAGACCGAGGTCGAAGAATAGATCGGAGGTGGCCGAAAGGCCCTTAGGCTTGGACTAAGTGCTCCGCCCCTTGGAGCCGTCGTTACACTGTGATTGCTCTACTAAACTTGACGTAGACCATTGTTGTCGTTATATTCGGAATACTACATAGTATAAACCCAAACACAAATTGCCATCTCGCGATGGAGGTAAAGTAGGCAACAGGCAACCGTTGCCATTGCCGTTCCCTGCGTGATTGCGAGTTCAGTGCTGTGTCAGTCAGTACAGGTTTAGGTACCCGAGCATCCGAGATGTACCTAGATTGAGACCTTACACCGTAAGTGCTCTCGGTCCGGACAGTCCGAATCCGAGGAATTCCACAGTCAGGACTCGGCCTTTTCAGACCACATCGAACGGTGTTAACCCCTCATCAAGCCATTCCAGAGTCCGATCTGACCTGGTTCAAACCTACGTCAATTATTGATTGTCTCCCACTGAGCGCCGAGGCAGTCAAGGCCGGGTATGCATCTGGAACGGGTACCTACGGATCAGCAGCTACTATCCTCCATTCGTAAGGTGAGGTGGCATCGCATGTCGCGAAGCTAGGAGTAGTAAGCTACATCATGCACGATTAATGATTTCGAGCTGCCGCATAACGATGCTGCACCCAATGGCCTTGCCGGCACCGATGTCAGCTTACATGCCTTACTATTAGTAAGAGGTCGCGTCCCTCGTCTTCACGTCGCACATGTCGCAGTTCCCTAGGTTCCTTCTTTGTTCTACCTATTTTCACAGCTCTGCTTCCCGGCTCGACGTCCTGCATTAGATTGAACCGTCATTCGCGACATTCGCTGCTTCAAAGATGAGTGAATCGTATGACTACATCATCGTCGGCGGCGGCACGTCGGGGCTGGTGTTGGCTGCGCGCCTCACCGAAGACCCAACCGTGAGCGTCTTGGTCATTGAGGCCGGCGCCGACAAGCGAAAAGACCCGGCACTGGAAACTCCAGGTCTTGTCGCAGGCGCATACACTGACGACAGCTACACCTGGCCTTTTCGGTCAACAGCCCAAGTACGAGTCCCCCTCTGCCTTTGACCGAGAACCACCAGATTTGCAATTAAGAAGACTGACGGTGCGCTGTTGGCTAGGCCGAGCTGAATGGCCGCCATCTCCGGCAGGACACCGGCAGGGTCCTGGGTGGCAGTTCGTTGACGAATTTCATGATGGCCATGTTCCCCTCGCGGACGAATCTCGACACCTGGGGCAAGCTGGGGAACAGCGGATGGGGCTACGACGACCTCGCCCCCTACTTCCAGAAGTTTTCGACGTCGCACCCCCCGAGCGAAGCGATCCGGAAGACACTAGGAGGGTTGGCCTACTACCAAGATGACATGACGGGCAACGGCCCCGTCCAGCTGTCGTTCGACGACCAATACAACGTCATGAACGAAAATTGGTTCAAGACCTTCGCCGAGCTAGGGCTCGAGATGAAGACGGATCCCCGGACGGGCAGGGCTACCGGCGCGTTCCAGAACTCATCCACCATTGAAAGTGGGACGAATACTCGCAGTTCGGCAGTCACTGCCTACTACTCGGACGAGATCGCCAGGCGGCCGAACCTGAAAGTACTGCTGGAGACGACAGTGCAGAAGATCAGCACACGCAAGGATAGTCTACTCGTTGCGGAGGGCGTAGAGGTGAAGAACAAGGATGGCAACGTGAGCACTATCAAGGCCGGCAAAGAGGTGATCCTGGCCGCGGGGACAATCCGAACACCACAACTGCTCGAACTATCCGGCATTGGCGACCGCGACCTGCTCGAAAGCCTTGGAATCGAAGTCAAGATCGACAACCCTAACGTCGGCGAGCATATGCAAGACCATCTCATGACATCGCAGCAGTTTCCGGTCAAGAAGGACATCCCATCCAAGGACGGGCTTCGCGACCCCGCCGTGTTCCAGAGCGCCTTCGAGCAGTACGCATCAGCGAAGCAGGGTCCGCTAGCCGGCATGGGGACCAGCGTGGCCTACGTACCGCTAGCAGACCGTGGCGGCGTCATGACGGTGGCCGACCGCAAGGCCATGTTCGATAAGTACCTCACCAGCGGGCCCGCGCTGAGCCCCGTTCAGAAGCGCGAGTTCAAGCTGATCCGCGAGCTGCTCGAGGCCGAGAAAGAGCCGGCCATCCAATACCTGTGCTTCCCAGGGTCTCTGACCGTGACGGAGCATCCGGACACGCTGACGGATATGTTCACGTCCCATACGCCCTACGACTGCATCGGCATCCTGTCTCTGCTCAACCACCCCTTCTCGCGAGGCAACGTCCACATCACCTCCAAGGACGTGTCGGTGCCGCCGACCTGGAATCCGAACTACTGCACCCACCCGCTCGATCTCGAGATGCTGGCCCGCACCGTCGGCTTCGTCGAGAAGATTGTCAACACGGCGCCGTACAAGGACATGATCGACACGGAGCTCAAGCGGCTGCCGGATGCGACCGGTGACGATCTGGAGGTGGCCAAGGAGATTGTGCGCTCGCGCACGGTGTCGTGCTTCCATATCGCCGGCACCGCGCGCATGTTGCCGGTGGAGCTGGGTGGCGTCGTCGACGAGCGCCTGATTGTCCATGGGACTTCGAACATTCGTGTCGTCGACGCAAGTATGATTCCTCTGGAGCCGCTCGGCAATATCCAGACGACGGTATACGCTGTTGCCGAAAGAGCTGCGGACTTTATCAAGGCACAAAAAGTATAGATATTACCTAAACAAGTTAGACAAATTCCACATACAACGGATAGTATAGACAAGTAAGTTAGAGTCGTAGATGAAAGAAAGCGACATACATACACATACATACATACATACACCCATGTTAAAGAAGTTCAAAATCAGCAATCATCCTGCTCCATCTTGTCTGGTTTCTTTTGCATACAGCTATGATATAGGTAGAAACAACAAACAATTTCTAGAGAAGCTGGAATTCTAGGAGTTCCCGACAATCCACGCCTTCTTGGATTGCTGGTATTTGCAAAAGGAGTATAATACAATATCAACTGAATAGGTTCAAAAAAGCTGTGACGGACGAGGTTCGAACTCGCGCGACTTTCGTCACTGGTGAATATATCAAACTCCGAAGAGTTGCAGACTTAAAACCAGCACCTTAACCACTCGGTCACCGTCACCATTCGCCCTCCATTTTTGAGGCAAGTAGAGAGTGGAGAATTTTCGCAAAGCATAGTATATATTTATGATTCGCAACCATCCGCCTTCAACATTGCCGCACAGCCTGTCTGTATATAGCAAGAGCGTGCGAAAACATCCTACTGCGAAGCAGACGCCGGCTCTTGAGTCTTCAGAACCGGTAGTCCTGATGCATTTGTTCATCTGATATAAACTTTGGGGAAAAGCAATCATAGATGCACTTTAAGCAATGCTCTGCAATGCCCATAACCAGAAGGGATGCTTGCTGGGCAATTGTAACATACTACATGTGAACAACCAATCGAGATTCTGATGATCCTATAGAACCTTTTTTTGCACATTTTATCTGATTATGATTCTTGATAGTCGAATTGAACGTAGCATCATCTCCGGAGCCACAATAAACCATATATAAGTTTGCTAGCCACCAAGGCTTAGTGTTCATAGGGTCCGGTCTTACCCATCCATCATTTCCTCATTACATCCGTTTTCAAAGGAGACTGGATGATCAACCCAAAAGCCACCACCCCCGGATGCCCACCAGTTCAACAACAATAATAAAAAAGACTAGCGTATTACAAAGCAAGTACCGAGAAAAGCAAACAACCATCTTCCTCATTAATCATCGTGAAGCCTATTCCCACGTTTCTCCAGACTTGTTGGATTCCATGTCCCTGGCGGGGGAGTTGGCGCGACCGTCGCGGAACTAGACGCCGATCTGCGACATGCTGCCCGGCCCGCGCACAGAGCCTCCACCCTGCCGGAACGCCCTGAACGCAAGCGCAAAGGCGGCTGTGAAGGTGGCGAACAGGAACCACATGAAGACGAGGCCAGCCTGGATCTCGCGGCAGCGCTTCTCTGTGTCGGCGGAGCCAAAGGCGATCCAGTCGGATGGTTTCGAGCCCTGCATATTGGACAATCAACACGTTAGCAAAGGTTCCAACGACTGCACAAGCTTATGGCTGCAGACTGTGCGGGCTGGGGTGCTCTGTGCTTACCCAGTGGCTGCAGTTGACGGTCGTCAACTTGGCCGAGAGGACGATGGCGCAGATGGCAGTGAAGAGCGTGGCCAGGGCGTCCAAAGAAAGGCCGGCTATGGGGATGGCGACGGCCGAGACGAAGTATGCGAGGAGGTTGTAGAGTATGGTGATCCACGACAGGGCCAGCACGAAGATGGAGAAGTTGATGGCGGCCGTGGCAGAGCCGGCGGCGTTGTGCGAGTTGGCGCGGACGTTGCCGAGGAGGGCCGTGGCGACGAGGACAAGGAAGAATTGCGCTATGCGCAGGATGGAGTTTGTCAATGTGCGCATGGTGGCGGAGAGACAGAAGATTCGACGAGAACGGGTGTTGATCTGATGCGTTGACGGCCCGTAGCTACCGCGGGGTTGCGTCGAAGATGAGATGTTGGTGAGTGAGTGGGTGGTTTCGGTTGTATCAGTGGGAAAGCGAAATGAAATGAAATGCAGGATAGTATAGTAGTCGAGATGTTGTAAACAATCACACGAGTCGAGGTTGAGACAGGCCCAGGATCACAAGAAGGCCTCGGAGTGCTCGTGGTATGCGGGACGTGGCGTGGTTCAGGGACCAGGCATGCGAGGATGACAAGGATGGCAGAGCTGAGGTTAGGTAACCTAGTTGATGCGACAACGAGAATAATGACACAGAATGGTAGGTGATAGTCTATTGTGACAGTGCAACAGAATGCAGGCAAATGAACAGCCCGTCCTGGGTATGAAACTGTGAGTTTGTTTATGCTGCGGTGTTGTGTTGTTGAGGAGGTAGATAGATGCAAGTCCTTGTTGGATCTGGGAGACAATGGAGAGTTCATCACGCGGTTGCGTGACAAGTAAGTAACAAGCAATTGATTTCGATACATGAGGTCATAGGTCATAGGCCAATCCGGGCCCCAAAAAGCAGCGGCGCTTCGGGAGAGGTCCTGGCTTACCTGGAGGGGTTGCTAGGGACACGGACTAGCTGTGAAGGACCAATCATCAGCAGGGATCGTTGCTAGGGCAGGGATCAGCGGAGTCGCAATTCAATTATGCCCCCGGCGATCTATACCGTCATTGGCAGCTTAGGCGCTTCTAGTGTAGATATTAGCGGATACAGCAGATCCGACAGTGGAGACGGCCATTGTAAGCGGCGATGCAGGCTTGGCTTGTCGAGCTTGTCACCTTGTGTGGAAAACAAATGAAATATTTATAGAAGCTACCTAGTACTTACTTACTTACCTCCTATGAATCAACATCTCGACATGCTGCTGGATTCAATATTGTTTTTTAGTACTACAACCTGTAAACGATGATTTATTCCAAAGAGCCCTTGTATTTATTAGGTACCTAGGTAGGTATCCAATAACAGCATTCCAAATGATCAATCCAAAAGTAGAAATAAACTTAGAACTTATAGGAGAAGTTGTAGTCCACTGGGCAGTGTCTTATATGTTGCCTTGACAATAATGCAAACTCGATTTTACAGTTGCAAAGCAAAGCATGCTACCTATCAAGACAGCCTGACAAAACAGACAAAAACAGACATCCATGATTAAATGGGGCTGTCCACTGAGCCGGGACTCTCTTCCAGCCCGTGATCATCATCTGCTGCAGCGCTCCCGATCCCGCCCGCCCGCAGTCGTTCCAACGCCTTGGTCGCTTCTTGCTCCCATCTACTTGCACCGACAATCACCCACTCGAGAGCACCGACAATGTACAGGGCCACACAATTGCCGAACCACAGCCCTCCAAGCCCCCAGCCGTGAAAGGCGAGGTAGATGCCCGTAGGCAATGCACCGCCATAGTAACTAACCAGGTTGACGAGAGCGCCAACCCATTGCTTGCCCATGCCTCTCAACACACCACCGCAGCTGCCATTCAGCCCGTCTGCGATCTGGAATAACGCCACGAAAGGCATCACCTCGCCCACCAGCTTGACCACCCGCTCATCGTCGTTGAAGAGCTTGCCGAACACGTCCTTGGAGCCCATGAGGATCGCCAGCACCATGCTCCCGACCAATGCCGAGAGCACTGCAGCACAGTGGGCTGCGCGCGCCGCCTCTCGTGGCTTTTGCGCGCCGAGGAGGTTGCCGATGCGCGACGATGTGGCCACCCCTAGCCCGAATGGTATCGTGTTGATGATCTGGTCCGCAGTCATGATGACCGATTGTGCCGCCAACGGAATCGTGCCCAGCCGCCCGGCTGCCAGCGCCACGATCTCGAAAGCCCACCATTCCGTTCCGACATGGACAATGCCCAGCAGCGCCAGACGCGTGAAGGGCCATAGGTGGGATACGGCACGTTTCGGATCGAACCTGTCCCAGCACTCATGGCCGCGGACGAACACGGCATATGCAACGAGCAGAAGGAACGACAGCCAGTAGCTGATGCCCGTCGCAATCGGCGCTCCGTAGAGTCCGATGCCGAACCGGTGCACAAAAAGCCAGTTCAAGAGTATGTTCAGCGGGGAGGTGATCAAGAGAACATATGTGCCCGGCCGATAGATCTCCTGTGCCTGAAGGTACTTCTTCATCGCCTCAAACCAAACATATCCTAGTCCGCCTGGGATGAGGAGCTGTAGAAACCTAGAGCTCTGCACACAGATGAACTCCTCCTGGCCGAGGGCTCGAAACAATGGTTCCGATGAGCTCCATATCACCGCGATCACGGCGTATAGGACAGTGAGGACAATTATGCCCCGTTGCAGAAGAATTCCCAAGTCATGGCGGTCCTTGGATCCAGTGAAGCTGCTTGATGCAAGCGTATCGAGTGCAGTGGTACCACCTAATGCAACCAACCACGCCGTTGCCATCGCGAACATGTACGAGAAAGCGGCCGTAGCTAGTGCTTCCGGCGATAGGCGACCAACGATCAGGACGGATGCGGTCTGGAGGCTATTCTGGAGAGTGTATGCCAGGATAACAGGTATCGCCGCTTTGGTCAGTATCCAGATTTCCCCGAGCCATTGTCGATATGTAGGGACAACACTGTCCCCATGTTCATCCGTTGGCTTCGGTAGCAACGGGGTACACTCGGAATCTGGGGCCGAGGACTGAGCCGTCGATGTCAAGGCCGAGGAAGCCGTTGTTTCCGCCATGGCGTGGAATGACTCTATTAATGTCACGAGATCTTTGAGCCATTCTAGGGGTCTGGCTTTTAAAGACACGAGATAGATATCATTTTCATGGTTCTACAGCTCGCTGAAGTGGTAGCAAGCATATACTGGGCATAAGCAAAGGCACCGCAGTAGTTATAGGTTTGTCGCACATACCCGATCGTCCGCCTTGATGAGTATCACTGCCTATGCCCGCGATGCACGACATATGCAAGTTCTGTTAGAATAGATAACCACCCGGAAGGGGAGGATTATCATTACCCTACGATAACAGTCATGAGTTCCGAAGTCCTGACTATCAATGCCTGGACTATCGCTATACCTCACCGCCTATCTAGACTATCTACCTACTCATGCCGCCTAGCATGTTCTGAATGAGGCGGTTTCTTGCGGCGTGTGACATTCGACCAACGAACGCTCACGCACGAGAGCATCTTCTAGGAAAACTACCCAAGGAGTAAGACATGGGAGCCATGCAGTATTTGCCGGGCACCGAAGCTACTCCGTGCATGCGCCAAGAACTCCGTTACCTGACGTGCAGTTGTGCGTTTTCGCTTTGGGAAATCGTGCCGTCAGCTTGCGGGCCCCGATGCCGTGTTATAGGTTGACGATGGACGCCAGTGCGTTATCTAAGACCAATGGAAATATGTAAAGTTGCTTTGTTTAAGTTGCTTTTGGCGCTTTTTATCTAGTGATAAGGATATAGGAGATTGGGGTCTGGGAACTCGCGCATTGCATGAGAAGTTGATGCACCGCATCGGGAATTCGTCTCATCTCCGTGGCGCATTGTGCCACCACCATCGCGATCCGTTCCGGTTCTTGGAGACACAGCGGCTGACCCCGATTTCCTTCTCTACGGATATGCATATCTTTG